CATCCCACACGCACTCCCGCATCATGACACAAACAATGACAACACACCACTGTTACCTTGTTCACAGAACGGTTGCATTACAACACACCGCTTCAGGCAAGCTTCCAGACGGACGCTTTTATCTCTCGCAAGCAAACAGTCTCTTCACGGCAACTTGCCTTGTGTACGAATAAATTAGTTCTTAAATTTGACTGCTTTCTCCTATCAGATGGAATACTCATAGTGTAGTGGTTATAGCAGATTTTACATCCTAGACCCCTACAGCTTCTTCTGTGAAGTCGGATGGTAGTTGCTGAGGGGAGTATGCAATATCTCACTGAACCATTCCAAATCATCAGCTATCTTGCGAGCAAAAAGCAGATTTCCAATTAATGTTGTTACTTTCCTCCTTCGGTTGATTGAAGTCGCCACAACAAATATTCCTTTAACTCTAGTGGGCTGTACCGATATGGAAAATATTGAATAGTCCCGATAAAGTACGGCGTGATCACTTCGACCGTGAAGAGGTAGAGGTAGCGCCTTGACGATGCTACCAGTAATTTCATGAGTGCCAGACCCGGGCAGTTTGATTGCTGACTCTCACGTACCCTGTTGGGAAATAGAAAGTGTTAAGTGAGAGGTTAACAGAGATTCAGGTCCTGTAAACGTTGGTCGAACACTAGCTCCGGACCACATGCGTATGAACTCCACTCGATGGGCGGTACATTGAAGTCACCCATAATCAAGACTTCAGGCCGCGCAGTTAACCCTTTTTACGGCTCTAGCAGACTAGCTTGGGTCTCGGGATCGCTTCTTGGTGGTCGATAGACAGCCAAAACCTCAAAGTTAGGTGATTCTGGTATATTCATAGTAAGCCAGACAGCCTCGGTGCTGCATGTAAATCTTTCTGCTTTTCTCCAAGACTTGTAGCTAATGTTTTACGTAATTGAAAACAACTTGAGACCCTCTTCCATCTCCTCGAAACAAAAAACTGAGTACTGGACTGAGTACTCGATCCTGTTTATTTGTGGCCGGTTTAAATTACCCATAACTACTTTATATGCGGTGTATCTCTTTGATAAAATTTCCATTAAATGTTTAAGCCCAGTGTTATCATGAGTGCACTCTGGAGGAAAGTAGAGACATTCGATTAATAAGGTTTCGTGAGCCTGGGATTTTATCGTGGCAATA